CGCCCCGCGCGGGGAGCGGTGTGCACCCCGGGCTGGCGCGGGGCAGCGGACGGGGCCGCCTGGCCAACCGGGGGTACATTAGGTCTGCTCTGCGGTTTGGCGGGGTGACGCGCTTAGTGTCCGGGAGCAAGGGCTTCGGGATTACTTTGCTAAAACCAGCCAGCAGTTCAGATGGCTAAAGCAACCGGTGAACGAGCGTTTCAGTTAAGGCACCAAGCTAGAAAGGGGTGAATGCACTTTACACCTCCCGGCCCTTTGATACACGGCCAAGCCCGGTTTTGAACTGGGGCTGGCGTGGGGTGAGGAACAGGCCGACGGCAGGACACCAGCAGTGTGTGCTTTTGTCGAGCAAATACTTAATGGGCCCTGCAGGCTTAAGCGCCTTGAGTGGGAGGGGTTAGCAGGTACAGTGATCTTCCTAGTTAAAACCACAAGCCCTGCGTTGTTAGGAAAAAAATTCAAGGCCAGCACAAGCTACACTGTTCATTTCTCAACGCCGATGTCATGCAGATGCATGCCCTCACAACCACTTCAGTACACTGTGCATTTGTATCTTAAAATCCCACACGAAGACGTACTAATATGCACACGTTCTGGTCACGGGGCTCCTCATACGTTCTTTAATGGGCGATATTCTAGCTGTATGGGAGGTGGGGGCCTCCAGGTTTTGGATAGATCACTTGTGACATTAATAGCTCTGGGGAGTCTAATAGAGACAATAGGAGTTAAACGAACTCTTGAGAGATTACTAATAAAAGAGCCAATTATCATGTCGACTTGGAAAGAGCATCTCTTAAGATTTATCCCTTGCACATCTAATTTGACGTGACAAAGACTTCACAGATGCAAAAATGAAACTTTAAACTAGCTAACAATATACTGATTGGGGTTAGAAATGAGCACAGTTTCGTAGAGCGTAGTCCTCTGGTGGTGCCTAGAATCCCGTAATGTGACATTGTCACCATAACCAAAAATAAGCTGCTACCAAGTGAATAGCCTTTAATCCAGGAAACTTTATTTCCACTCGCTAAACAATGCAAATCCATCCAAATCACTTGACACTTTTCCAGCACTTTTTGCCTTGAGCAAATACGCCAATAATCCTAACATCCTCAAGATGCTACTTTTAACCAAAAGCTAAATTTTTGTTAACCTAACTCACGAAGTTTCAAACCCCTTAAACAGCCAACAAGGAACCAAACTCAAGAACATGAAAGTTTTCTCCCTGTGTAAGAAGTGCTTCTTAATCATCTACCCTACAATAATATGACATTATTTGTACTCTTTTAATATAAAAGACTTCTTAACACTCATGGCCTGCACTCCACTTCACACAATAGATTAGCTAAACTATTAAGCCGGTTCAAAATTAAAATGCTGCTTCCAAATCAGTTCAACTATTGCACATTTCGTGTGTTTGTCCAAATATCATTAAGCTAAATGAAACGGTCAAATCATGAATCAGAACAAAGCTAGCCTGTTGCCATTACCGACATACTGAAAGCTGATTATTTAAGCATTGCTCTTCTATGCTTATCCATTTGCTAATTCTGAGCCTTTAGGAAATCCTATTTGAAAAAAATAAATACAACTCTGCAAGTTCTTTTAAATAGCACTCTGCCTGTAAGGACATGCTTGGAATGCAGAAGGAAATGGCTTACCTTTCTTAATTACAGTTTGATCTGGGATGTTAATACCCGGGTCTTCTACGTGCTGCAACAAAAGGATACACATGGATGTAAGTGTATAATCAAAACAAAAGGAAATGAATATTCTGTGCGAGGTGGGGGAAGGGAAGTGTAGAATCAGAATTCTCCCTCCCATAAGATGACATTTATATATAAACATCTCATCTTGGCTTATTAGAATTTGAGGCTTTGCGACTCAAGAGGTTTCACTGCACACCCACAGCCAAATTCTCCTCCCCCAGCAAATAATCCGTGTTTGAAGGGGGTGGGGTGGGGAATAAAACTTTTCTTTGGAAATTAAATCAAGTTTTGGAGTACCTAATCTTTCTCACCAGTCAGTTCAACCTTTAGAAATGCTCCTAGCTTTAGCTTGGCGCCTCAGCGGCTTCGGACTTTAGATAGAGCTTCCCATGTTCAGGTAGCAAAAGCCAGGGCGACACAATAGAAATGACAGGGCCGGGAGCAGCAAAAGAGTGCTGGGAGCCGGATAGGTGATGTAATAAGGAGCAAGCATACCTTCGCTTACGGAGAACTAGAAATATTTTTTTTTTAAAGGCTACTGCCTAAACTGGATATGACAGGAATACGAAAATATCAAAAATAATAAGAAAGAAAAACCTCTAAGGTTGCTTTTCTATTGTCCAAGCAGCAGATTTGTCAATGTGGGTTTTTTTTTCTTTTTTTTTTTTTTTACAGATGGGTATACGTGTGTGTGCTAGAGTCAAAACGTGATTAGAAAGTAAAATGAAATCATGTTTTCTAATGCAGAAACTGACAGGCAATATAATGTCTGGCTGTGTTTACAAATTAGCACCAGGGCTGCTGAGATAGAAGATTTCGCAATCGTTACCAAACACAGGCATTACCATTTAAAAAACTATTACTTCCTTCTCTAGTCTTTGTCCAACAATAATACTGATTCAAACATTTTCCATTCTGTCTTGGATTTATGCTCCTGTTAATTGTGCCTGATCGCAATGATTCCGGGTGGATGGTACTAAGTTGCTTTATTACAGGTTTTATTATACTCAATGCTCTCATTTGTAACTTGCCTAAAGTGCTTCTGGATTTAAGTATAATTAAATTGAGAAATGTTGAGAAATGACTACTACTGCAGTTCTTGTGTTTTAACTATATGGGGAAATATGATCCCTTTATGCATGCACCCTAAACCCATAAAGTAAATGTAGTGTGGCATAATACTTTTATTTGTGTTATTTCTAGACCTTGTCCATACAGGGAAGACTATTAAGTTTAAAGCCCCACTGAGATATTAATGATTAAATAATTTTCACCATCTATTTGATTTTCTTAAATATTTAGCAGTCATTCTTATTAAAGGTTAACTGTTGCAGCAGTGGGGAAATTTAAAACAACCCTTTTCCTGACCCAAATTCCTTTGAAAGAATTTTTTTCTCTTAAAAGGTGGGGGAGGGAGAGGGAAGAGCAGCAACTGGGTTTCCTTGCTTTCATTTGATCTTTTGGCTAATTTCTCCTACGGACCAGTTCACCCACAAAGAGACTGTACAGGTATGAAGCATGCCCACCAGCCACCTGAAATTTTTGCAAAGTAGAGTCCTTCTAATTCACAGTAGTTCCAAAAGCTTGTATATTTTTGCAGTTGAACTATTTCTAAACTGCAAGGGAGAAAAAGACTTCAAAGACTCCTCAGGCAAAGGAACTAAAATACTCAGGTCTTTTTAAAATTGCTGTGTTAATACTCATTTCACTCCTCCCCAAATACCCCGTTAAGTAACACTTTCTAAAAACATGTAAATATGAGCAGGAACACAATGCCTACTAAACCTTATCCCCGATCAAAGTGCCCACTTTCCTGTTTTCCATCCAAGGCTGCTAAACGTAACCAACAAATTTCAGTGGCTAACTGGGTCAAATGAAAATGTAATAAATTTTCTATAGAACTTAAATAATGTTTTAAATCCACCAAGCGAGCAGGTAAGTGCACGTGACCGTTTTCCTTACAATCTAATGCAGTAATCATTAAACTGTCAACGGACATACTGCTGCTATATTTGATGCAGTAATTTGAAATAGCATTTTAGCAAAAATCACATCCAGATACATTTCCTCTCCAAAGAAAAGCAGCTTTAACAGAAGCCTTTACAGCTTTAATAAAATTATTGGCTTGCTCTAATTCCATTTCAGGAAGGTTGTGAGGAAACCATAAATATATAGAATTGCAACAGTGATGCTGGTTTAAATTTAATTTCAGAAAGTATTTTCAAATTATCAATAGCCTGGTTTGCGTTGTAAATAGTAAATGTGCTAATGCCATGCTTATTTAGAAATCATTTTAAACTGCATTTATTGATAACTGAATTAGAACTCAAATAACATATTACCCAATAGTCTCAAAACATTTAATTTAATATGGGGTGTAGCAGGTTCTGATAGGCGTTGGGAGCCTAGCTAATGATTTATGAGGTCACCACTTAGCACCCCTAGGAGGAGAAGAAAGCTGCATTTTAATGTCTCTCTGCCTGGGTTTGTTACTGACTTTTCTTCAATCGGAACAGGGTCGACATAACTTTTAGGTTTCACTAGCTTATAAAATCTGGTTTAAATGCTCTTCTCAGTGTGTCTTTCACGGTTTTTTTCAAACATTGCGAGGGTCTCTGATGAGCTATTTTGGCTAAATTTCACGTCTTCCCCGGGACGGGGAGACGAGACAGCCCCAAGCGTCTGAGCGTGGAATGAGGTCCTCTTGCCTTCGAAACAGTTTACCGCCGTCGTGGAGAGGGGCATAGTCTGTCTGTGGTGACACTCGTCTGATTTATTCTGTGTTGTGGGAATGGTAATGGTGGCATTGTTTGAGGGAACCCTAAGAACCATTGTTCTGGGGCAGGACGCTCCCTCGCTCTTTAACTTTCCAATTTGGTTGTTTCTGTGGGTCCTCAAAGCACTCCACCAGTACCACCGCTGTCACCAAATGAACATTTCGGCAAGGACCGTCCTGGAGGGAACCCCGGCTCGGCCGCGGGTCGCGGGACGTCTCCGCGCTCGGAGCGGCACCCGGCCCGGCCCGCGAGCGGCCTCTTACCGGGACGTCCTCGATGGCGTGAGGTAAGGAGTGGATTGGGAGGTCTCCGAGTCCGGAGCCGAGCCCGTGCGGGCCGTGCAGGAGGTCCTCGTGCCGCCGGTAGTCCCTGCGAGGATCCAGGCCCGACAGCTGGTGGGGCAGCCCCCGGTGCGTGTGCAGGAGCCCAGAATCCTGGCTCTGCCTCTGGCCGGGCCAGCCCGGGTGCTGCGGCTGCGGCTGGGCGTGCAGGGGGTTCAGGCTGTAGGGGTCGTTGACGTGGGAGTAAGGATCTTGCGACTGAGGGTAGATAGGCTGGTAGGGCGGGGGGAAGTAGGGGGGCTGGAAGTCGGCATTGGGGGTGTGGGACAGCGGCGGGGCGCTCGTGTAGGGAGATTGACCTACAGTGCCCAGCTGGGGCAACCGCGCCGTCCCGTTGCTGGTGCCGTCGTGACGGTCCTAGAGGAGGGCGAGAGCAAGGGAAACAACAAAAAATCAGACGTCGGTTGGCCGCCGTCCCCACTAAACCCACTCGCAGACCTGGGTAGAAAACTGCTCTCCTCCCACTGCAGGCCGCCGCCGGGGCGAAAAAGAATCCGCTCTACGTTAATCATTTCGGAAAACACACCAGAAATCAAACAGGCCGTTCCAAAAGCGCAAAGAATTAGACTGTGTGAATCCAGGGGCGCGAGAGATCCTCCTTACACATTTCTTTCAAAGGAGGAAGAGGACAGGAAGGGGTCTCCTGGAAGACAGCCCGTTAAATTGCTGCGTGAAACCTCCCTTAAGCAAAATTAAAATCCCCACTAAATATTAAACAGCAGAAGCGGCCTTTTCTTTCCCCCGGATTTGAACCTGTCTGCCACTTCGTTGTTTACTCTCTTCCACTTAGACGGGGGAAAAAATCATAAACCTTCAAAGACCATTACCATTTCATGAGTATTTAAATAGAAACACACTTCGAACAGGGGTTGTAACGAGAGCACATGTATAAATTACCAGCTTAAGGAAGGTTTTAACTGCAGGATCGGGGGTCTGTCTTTTCCACTTCCTCAGTTAGGAGTCTTTTTCTCGACAGAGTCGATTTACAGAGTATGAATGGGGCATGAAGTGGAGGTTTAAAATAGGCTCAGCCTTATTGGGTTTAACGGAGAGAGGTGCACCCCGGGGCGGAGGCCCCCGCCCCTTCCACCCCGGCCCCAAAGGGCAGGAGAAACGCCTGACTTTAGGTTCCTGTATTGCAATTCGCTTGCAAAACAAGCAAATTGGATTCCCGGGTACGAGAATCCTGCACGGTGCAGCCGCAGACCCTGAGTGAGGGTTAGGGGCGCGCCGGATAGAATTTTTTTTTCCTGGAGACAGATTTAGCACCAGACGTTGAGAACATCTCGGGAACAAGTGGAGACGCGAGGAAATAAAGGTGAATGTGGTGAGAAACACGCCTTGGGCGGCAGCTGCGAGGTAGGGGTCGGTCCTAGGGCGCGGGAGCGGTGGCGATGCGTTGGATCCAGGGGCAGAAAGGAGCGAAGGAGAGGGAGAAAGGTGGAAAGTGGGGGGATGCAAATGGAAGGAGGTGTTTGGAAGGAAACCCGGGCGCGAGACCCGAGGTCGCGGGCAGCTTGGCTGGCCCAGGATTCCAGAATAGAATTCCTAAGGAATCGGGGATGGGGGTTGGGGTGGGACTCACCATAGCTGAAAAACTGTGAACTAACATCTGCGAAGAGTCTGGGGTAACGAGTCAGGGTGGAAAAAAAACAAGCAAGCCAGGAGCACCCGGCTGCCCCGCCGCCCGAGCGCGCCCCACACAAAGGCGCCGAGAGCCCCGCGCCACGCAGGACTCGAGTCACCGCGCGGACGCTCCCGCGGGCGCCGCCGCCCCGCGCGCATCCATCCGGACGTGGACCACACACTCCGCGCGACGCCTTCAGCTGGTCGAACCCACGGTCTCTATCCTGCCGCGATCGGTTAGGATTCAAAGTTCTTTAAAAAACAAAAAAAAAGAAAAAAGAAAAAAAGAAAGAAAGAAAAAAGAAAAAGAAAAAAACCCCAAAAAAGAAAAAAGTGTCTGGTGAGAGTGTGTGTGCATGCGTGTGCGCGCGTGTTCCTTAATCCGTGTCTCCCCTCTTTTCTTAGCGGCGGCTTCACTTGAGCTTCTAATAACCGCGCTCGCCGGGCGGCGTTCCTGGAGCCTCCTAATAACAGATATTCATGACTATTAATATTACACGAATACTTAATAAGGGAAGAATGCCTGGAAATCGAGCGTGAAGCGGAGAGGCAACTCGCGCCGGAGCCGACTCTCAATGCAGTCCATTGACGGGAGCCTCAGTGTAGCAAATCGGAGGTGGGGACAGGGAGCTCGGGAGACAAAAAGCGGGCGAGAGAGGGAGCGGGCGAGCGCGCGGGGGGCCGCGGCGCGGCGGCTGGCGAATCACAGGGAAGGGGCAACATTTTAAAAGGTTGCAGGGCGTGCAAAAGTGAAAGAGAAAGAGGGAGCGAGGGAGGCCGAGGAGAGAGCGCGGAGAGGGAGAATGTGTCTGCGTGCGTGTGTGAGAAAGAAAGTGTGGGCGAGGAGAGGAGCTCGGAGTGGGGAGCTGGGAGGGAGGGAAGGAGGGAGAGCCCGGGAGGAGGAAGGGAGGGAAGGAGGA